AGAAAATATTAGCAAAACAGATGTTTGATAAGAGAATAATATTCAGAATATGTTCAGTTCAGTTCAGTCACTCAGTTGTGTCTGACTCTTTGGGACCCCATGAACCGCAGCACGATAGGCCTCCCTGTCCATCAACAACTCCCAGAGTTTTCCCAAACTCATGTCCATTGAGTCGGTGATGCCATCAAAACATCTTATCCTCTGTTGTCCCCTATTCCCCTGCCCTCAATCTTTCCCAGCATCAGGGTCTTTTCAAATAAGTCAGCTCTTTGCATCAGGTGGCCAAAATATTGGAGTTTCAGCTTCAACATCAGTCCTTCCAATGAACACCCAGGACTGATATCCTTTGGGATGGACTGGTTGGATCTCCTTGCAGTCCAAGGGACTCTCAAGAGTCTTCTCCAACACCACAGTTCAAAAGCATCAATTCTTTGGTGCTCAGCTTTCTTTATAGTCCAACTCTCACATCCATACATGACTAAAGGAAAAACCATACTTTTGATTAGACAGACCTTTGTTGGCAAAATAATGTCTCTGCTTTTTAATATGCTGTCTAGGTTGGTCATAACTTTCCTTCAAAGGAGTAAGCATCTTTTAATCTGCTGTATGCAATCATCCTCTGCAGTGACTTTGGAGCCCCAAAAAACTAAAGTCAGCCACTGTTCCACTGTTTCCCCATCTATTTGCCATGACGTGATGGGAAAGGATGCCATGATCTTAGTTTTCTGAATATTGAGCTTTAAGCCAACTTTTTTACTCTCCTCTTTCACGTTCATCAAGAGACTCTTTAGTTCTTCACTTTCTGCCATAAGGGTGGTATCATTTGCATATCTAAGGTTATTGTTATTTCTCCCAGCAATCTTGATTCCAGTTTGTGCTTCATTCAGCCCAGCATTTCTCATGATGTACTCTGCATATAAGTTAAATAATCAGGGTGACAATATGCAGCCTTGACATACTCCTTTTCCTATTTGGAACCAGTCTGTTGTTCCATGTCCAGTTCTAACTGTTGCTTCCTGACCTGCATACAGGTTTCTCAAGAGGCAGGTCATGTGGTCTGGTATTCTCATCTCTTTCAGAATTTTCCAAAATTTATTGTGATCCACACAGTCAAAGGCTTTGGCATAGTCAATAAAGCAGAATTAGATATTTTTCTGGAACTCTCTTGCTTTTTCTATGATCCAGTGGATGTTGGCAATTTGATCTCTGGTTCCTCTGCCTTTTCTAAAACCAGACTGAACATCTGGAAGTTCACGGTTCACGTATTGCTGAAGCCTGGCTTGGAGAATTTTGAGCATTACTTTACTAGCGTATGAGATGAGTGCGATTGTGAGGTAGTTTGAGTATTCTTTGGCATTGTCTTTCTTTGGGATTGTAATGAAAACTGACCTTTTCAAGTCCTGTGTTGCAGGAGTGGCCGAGAGGAGCTACCCCACGTCCAAGGTCAGGAGTAGTGGCTGTGCTTTGCTGGAGCAGCCATGAAGAGATACCCCACATCCAAGTTAAGAGAAACCCAAGTAAGACAGTAGGCACTGAGAGAGGGCATCAGAGTGCAGACAGACTGAAACCACACTCACAGATAGCTAGCCAATCTGATCACATGGACCACAGCCATGTCTAACTCAAAATATGTGGAGATCTCCTAATGCTCAACAACAAAAATCAAATAACCTGGTTTAAAACAGGGCAATGGACTTAGATAGACATTTCTCCAAAGAAGATAGAAAATAGCCAATACGTGAATGAAAAGATGCTCAGTATCACTAATCATTAGGAAAATGTGAATTAAAACTACAGTTAGATTCCAGTTTACACTTGTATGTATGTAGAAAGGCACCTACCAAAAAAATCCAGAATATAAGTGTTGTCTAGGATGTGTAGAAAGTTGATATCCTTGTGCACTACTGATGGTAATATAGAATGGTATAGATGTTGTGGAAAACAATACAGCAGTTCCTCAAAAAATTAAAACTAAAATTACCACATGATGAAGCAATTCTGCTTCTGGGTATATATTGAAAAGAAATAAAAACAGGGTCTTAAAGACATATTTGTAGATCTATGTTCATAGAAGCATCATTCACTGAAGCTAAAATGTGAAAGTAACCCAAGTGTCCATTGTTGGATGACTAGATAAGTAAAATGCAGTATATACATACAATGGAATATTACTCAGCCTTAGAAAATGAGGAAATCCTAACATATGCTGCAACATGGAAGAAACTTGAGGACATTATGCTAAGTGAAAGAAGCCAGTCACAAACTGTATCACTCCACTATATAAGGTACTTAGGGTAGTCAAAATCATAAATATAGAAAATAGAATGTGGTTGTCAGGGTTAAGGAAGGGGAAATGGGGAGTTATTGTTTAACAGGTAAGAGTTTCAGTTTTATAAGATGAAAAGCGTTATGGAGGTAGATGGTGGTGATGGTTGTGAATGTATTTAATGCCACTAATCTACACATTTAAAATGATTAATATGGTAAATTTTATGTTATGTGTATTTCACCACAATAAAAAATGAAGAAAAAGGCAATTTATTTTTTAGGTAATTTATGACTATTCAGGCAAAGCACATAAATCTGTAAAGATTAATTATATCCATAGTCATTTTTTATGTAAAATATATTATTTTCTTCTTGGGCTTTTTTTGTTTTTAAATTAACATAAAATGTCAGAGCTCTGAATATCAAAGAAATAGAATTTCTGTTATGAACATTTTCTTTGAGCCATGGATTACTTTCTGGAACCCATAACTGCCATAAAAGTGTTCTAATTCCAAGTTCTTCCAATTATTATATCTGTGGCTTTGGACAACATACTTGTTTTTGAAGCCTTTATTTCCATATTTTTATGTACTATATATGATGATGACTTTAAATGATAATTGTTAAGATTAAATATTGTGATAATGCTTCCTGAAATGGTTAACCTTATATGTATATGAATATCAGGGAATGTTTAACAGTAAGATTCCTGTGTGCTGTTTCCTATCTCTCTTGAGCCCTCTGTTCCTTATTGGTCCATGTTAGGGGCGAGAGGAGCAGGCAAGCCGCTCCCAGGACGGAGATCAAAGAGATGGGGTGCTTGCATAGGATTTCCTCCACTAGCTTTTCCATTTGGTGAAAAGGATTGTTTACGACCCTCTTTTGATATGGATCGCCTTTTGGCCTTATGGCCTCTATTGCTCCTTGCTTCGTGGGTAACTTGTAAAATCTGGTCTCTTGATCTTTATCTGAAGAAGCTACCTTGTTTTACGGTATACATTTTCTTACAGAATTCAATAAAGCACCCTTGCTCCACCAGAGACTTGGGTCCCCGTGTCCTTCTCTCTCTCTCTCTCTCTCTCTCTCTCTCTCTCTATTTCTGGCTGATTCCCTGGAATGTGAATGCTGGCTGCGTAACCCAGGGAATATTAGCCTCTTTCCTTCTTTCACTTTCTTATCATCAACTCCAGACCACCAAGTTCTAGCCCATTAAAGGACCCCAACATATGAGGAATTCCTAACACTGTGTGTTTTTTATATCTTCTACATCTAGAGTATATTAAAGGTCAGGGCTTATCTTAGGTGGATTTTCAATATCATCACCCAAATTTTACTCAGGAATCTCCAGCTTAATTCAAAACTATGGTATCACTCCACACCTCCTTCTCTCTTCTCATTCTTCTCTAATTCCCAATTTGCTTAATGGTACCATTATCTTCCCATGTTGGAAAGTTGAAAAATACAGTAAACGTCACAGTAAACTTCCTCTTACATCAAATAATCCAGTAATTCCAACTGTTTTGTTATCATAGCTCTCAAATGTGTTCTCTCCTATGCATTCTTACTACTTACAGATTTATTTCAAGTCCTTTTGAATTAGAGTCTGGACTATCATGCAGGTGTGCTTTATTATCACTCCCTTATGCCTTCTCCTTAAATCCATCCTCCATACCACCATCAGCATTATTCCTCTAAATTAGATCATATTGCCACCATATTTAAATCTTTTAAGGGTTACCTATCACCCCTGGAGTGAAATCTAGATTTCCTACTGTGACAAATTTCCTGGTTATTTTTCCAATCTCATTTCTCATCAGTCCCTGATCATCATGGACTATAATGCACGCTAAGTAGGGGCAGTTCCCCAAGTGTGCTATGATCTTTCTCAGCTGACCTGAAGAACAGAAACTTGGGAATGGAAGGATCAATATTGTTTATAGAAGTGTGAAGCTTTGTGGATAAGGTAGGTCTTGAATTGAGGAAATGTACCAAAAACAATATGGGGTCTGTATATATAAGAAAAACTGTAGGGAAAAAGTGAGGAGACTCATATAGTTGGAACAAAGGGTTAGATTTAAGTAATAAAAAATAAGCATAGAGAGAGAGTGGTGATAAATTGATAAAGGACAGATATTATCAGTTTTCCTAGGTTAACAAGGTTGAATGGGAAAATAGCAAGTTAAGCAAACAATGAACAATACTGATGAGTCTCAACTATTTTAATTTTGTTTACCACACTCATAAAACTATAACAATAATTAACAACGGTAACAATAAAATATTGATTGATTGTGGGTGGTATAAAACCTAGAGTGGTCATTACAATATTAAAAGCATCTATTGCAAGATTTGTTAAACGTTAAGATCATCTTCTGGAGAAGGAAACTTACACAAAAGATGGAAAGAATTTCTGGCTGAAAAATCTAACTGCACTTTTGAGTCATTAACAATATATTTGTATAGGATTGCTAGAAAGGACCATTTCCTAATTCTAGAGTCTGCCAGAAGCATAGAAGATGAATGGGGCAATTGTCACAATATATGTTAAAGCAACATTGTTGGCCCCAAAGGACAATAAAGATATGGTAATATAATGGGAAGGAGGATGTGAGAAAGAACATATAATAAATACTGCCCATGGAACTCTGCAATTTTTGAAGTTATTTGCTCATATCCTCAAAACCTTCTTTGCTGTCTTTGTCTTTTCCATCTCAACGTATTCTTTTCATTAATCAAGGGCGGAGGTTTTCTCTGCTACCTGTCTGGAGGTTGAGCTGCAATAATAGGGTAAAAAACAAACAAAAAAACTTGGGAGTTAAAAGTGGTAATGAAAGAAAAACATTTTTATCTTCAGACTACTTTAAGTAATTACTTAAAGAAAATATTGGGTATCATGAGCCTTGAAAGCTTCAAACCCATGCCCAAGAAGCTACTGTGATGACTTTACAATTATAGGCATAATATTATATCTTAAAATACTAAAATAGAACCATATTAATGCTCATTTTGTAACCTAGCTGTCTGCTAAGATTAGATTAACACAATATTTACCATACTTGACACTTTTAATTACATATTATTAAAATATAATTAACTCTAAATTTTTAATTTTAGGTTCTGATTTGTTTTTGTTTAGTAGCTATATGATCATAAAAATTACTTCAGTACATAATGTCTCAGTTTCCTCATCTGTAAAATAGGGATAATAGGGAAAATTATGTAACATCATAGGGTTGTTAGGATTAAATAAACTAATACATACGAAACTCAAGAATGCATTTCAGACAGTGTTATTAAATGTTGGTTATTAAATAGCTGTCTGAAGATTTACCTTAAATTTTATGCATTTTCCAATTTCAATATTGATGTTTCTCCAATATTTTATGTCTTATCATATTCTGTTTATAAACTGTATTCAAGAGTAATATGAAATCATGAAAATAATCATATTGAAAATTGGATTTTTTCTGAACTTTTGCTTAAAATTCTCACAATTAACAAATCTTAGTCAACTTTTTTCAGATTCATAATATTATGAAAGTATTTAGAAATGACCTTTTAAGGGCCTAGAGCAATTCTTTGCTTGTCTGATTATCTACTATTATGCAGTTAAGTTGAATGAAATGTGCTTCTTGGCTGTGACCTGTAGACATTGGCAATATAGCATTTATGAGATGAAATAAAATAATGCTAGTGCTGGTTTCTTCTGTTGTTTACACTTCACTTATTACTTGACTAACCATATTTTATTCAGGATCTACCGAAATAGCAGGTGTGAATAAATATAGATTGTTCCCAATTTATGAATAAAAGTTGTATTCCAGAAATTCATATGTAATTTAATCATTTGTAATAAAATTATTTTCTTATTAAGTTACCATAAAAACTTAGATGGCAATGGCCCTTAAAGTAACACAAAAGCAGAGGAAGTTATATGTGGGGTGTGTGTGTGTGTGTGTGTGTGTGTGTGTGTGTGTGTGTGTAGACTTTCTGTGAGATACGGGTAAAAAGGAGGTGATTGGGGATATATTAGGAGGTCAAGCTTCCAGAGTCAGCAGCTATGCAGTAGAGTTGGCTCAGAACAGCTTGATAGAATAGTTACTTTCTGAGTGGAGTAGGAAGGTCAGGGAAATAGAGCGACCTCAGAAAAAGAAAAACATAAGCTAGCGGTAAATAAGTGAGTGTCTATTAAAATAAGGTGCTTATATTTTTGGTAGTTACAACTTTGAAAAGTCTGAAATTGTGTTGTGTGTATGTGATGAGACAAGGGAAGATGAGGAGTACAAAGAAAAATATTTATTTTACAAATGAACCTAGATTAGCCAGAACATATTGGAATTCAGCAATGTGAAAAAAACACAGTAAGGATTACTGCGATCATGTTTATTATTCTACAATATTGCTCTTTCTTTCTCCATATAACATTATTTCCTTTGCCTTCTCCAATATACTGCTTTCTTACTCCTCACTTATTCCCCACTCTTCATTTCATTGAGGAACTGTACTACACTGGATAAACAAGCTTTGTCCTTTAAACATACACTTAATGAACCCAGATATCTTTAGAAGTAAATTGGTTGACTTTATTCATGAGAGATTTCATACTTTGCTTGTTTAATCATTTCACATTTATTGTCTTTGACATCCAAATTCAGGCTTTAAAACTTTGGAAAATTTGGTCTATAACTTGTCCCTCTAAGTAGAAAATGTAACAAATTTAGACACAGCTGCCTTAGTTTTTCAAACTGGAACACATGGCAGATTATATAGATTCTGCAGTTGTCGAGTGCACACTTGTATCACTGCAGCAAACATTTTTGGAATTTAAAATTCTAGTGAAATATTTTTTGAGAATAAAATGCCTCTTTAGTCAATTATTTAATGCTGAATAACATACTGTCTTTAGGTTCTCCCAGTTTAGTCCTTACCAATATTTGGACTCAAGTTGATGTGGTCTGACTTTCTCTATGTGTCTAGATATAATGCATCATTGATCCCATTGCTATATTCGAGGGGGCTGGGCCAAGGAACTTGAGCCATTAGGGAAAATATATATCCTAAAATTCCTACAGAAAGAAGGTTATTGGCATTTTCTGCAAAAGGGGCAGTAAAAAAGTGCTCTTTACTTTGAGCTTGGGGCAACTGGTTCTCCTTTGGATGGCTAACCAGAGTCACTGTAGATTTTATGGCTGGGTCAGAAAACTACACAATAGTGCAGATATAGGAAAGAGGCTGGATTCAATCTGAAACCTTGATCTTTAGCTGATTAACGATCATTTTCTCCCAAATTATTCAGAAAGCAGCAGGTCACATAGTCAGCAGAAGGGACATTGTTGATTTGTTCAATATTATTTTGTTATATTCAATTTGAGATATTTTACTGATTCATCCCAAAAGGAGTTGACTCTATCACAATTGAACACTTTGAGGACCCTATCCTGTATGACAAGGAATCCAGCAATAAGACACCATGGAAGCACTTTAGTATTATAAAGAAATATTATCAAATTGATGTATAAGAGAGTGACTTTATAAAAAAGTTTGGTGCACAGATGGCCTCATTAAAGTAGCTTAACAATTAACAGACCTTGATTAAGTTGCCAGTATCTTTGGGTAGGAGATGATTTGGCTGTATCTTAGACTCCAAATCCCCAGAAAACATGTCTTCCACTGAAACAAAACACAACAAATTCCTAAAAAGCTAGGAATGGAAAAATAGTTTATTTGCATGTAAATATATTTAATTAAGAAGATATTAGGCAGGATATTGCTTTGATTATTTGGAATACATGGGTACTATAATTATCTGCCTAAAGGATTGGCTTAACTAAAATGTATTTCAATAAATATTAAGCAGATGAATTAAACTTATTCATGAACATTCCTGGCTATATAAATGGAAAGGAAATAATATACTAAGTAGACCATTTTGAGTTGAAAGTATGAAAAATTTTGGCCACTTTGAAGACATACTGCAAATTAAGCCTTTCTTGAACAAAGACTTCCTCAAATACTCATGATACTTATAAACAAAAGCATTTTTGTGGTTAATTTTTGAAGCATTTACTAATTCAAGAGAATTTTGGTGCAAATAGCATAACATATTTGATTCGTATTTTCAGACACTACTACTAGGAAGGTCTGAATAACTCCATATCCACACAACTCTCATTATAATAGACTGTACTATGTGAAAATTTCTTCTTCAGTGTCACTACTAACTCATCTTTGTACTTAAAAAAATCTACCATAAATTAGAAGTGTCACCACTTTGAATGACCTTAATGCAACTCTTCTGTACATTTGGACCTGTCAAGGACTTAAGTTAATTAAATCCTTGAGCAAATTTTATTAATAAATCAAAGCTATTTTCACAGTTTAAGAAAGGCAAACTACTAATTTTATCTTTTATATGGAAACAGATTGTTTCTGCAGAATTGTAACTAGATAACTTATCAAATGACTGTAGACTCTGAGTAACATAGTTCTAATACCACTATCCATGGAAGTCAATGATAAACTTCACATAAAGAAAGACAAATTTCAGGAGTTACAATTTTGGTTGTTTCTGAAAAGTGCAAACCAGAGTAATAGTCCACACATACATATTTACAACTATTTTAATACATTGGTGACATGTTGTGATCTAAGCATCCAAAATGTTTCTAACCATTCTGGAAACTCAGTAAAATGCTACTTATTTGTCTTCAAATAGTTTCTACTTTCAAACACCCACTTGTTTTCCTGTTAAGAAAAGTAGGCTTCAAGTGCTTTAAAGGGGACTATTTTTTCACTTAGTCTGTATGTTTTTTAAGCATTCTGCGCTATTTAATTATTAAAAGCTTAATGATGGAATGAATGAAGATGGTATGAGTGGCTTGACTATGTGTTCTGATACTGAGCTGGCTGTTTGGTTCACTTGTAATTGGTACATTAAAAAAGTATTCCTTTGAAGTGAGCTTCTCTCACTTCTTAAATTGTTTGAGTGGGGAAAGCACTTTTGTAATCCCCATTATAATTGTTTGTGAGGTAAGTATGGAAAGGATGTAACAAACCAGGAATATATGAAAATATCAAAGCTCTAAGGGAAGACAATGACCTATTTTTTCCAGAAAAATACTTTGTTAGTGAAGGCATGCAAAATACATAGTTTCTCAAGCTACTGATGAATGTACTGTGAAGTTTATCTATCTTCAATGAAAATAAAGTGGTTGCATATATTTCCATTACATAGCCATAGTCAGTAGGTTGGAATGTATGTACCCACAGCATAGTATTTGTGGTAGTCTATTAAGTTCTATTAAGAACAACTTTTTATTATTATGTTTTTGGGGAATCAAGTATTCTCCATTAAAAATTTGATTTTTTGTGTATAGCTTTCAGCCAAAACCAACATATTTTACATATCCCAATTTAGGAAACAGCTCTTAGATATTATGATTTGAACTGCAAAATGTTAGCTACCTTCCTTAACTAGTAAGCTAAAACTTATTATAATCAGATTTTCATTTAGCTAAAACATAAAAGCCATAAAATAAAGCATATTTAAATGCGTTCATACTGCTGTAAAATTTCATTTGTGGAAAACACCTGGAGAAAACATCTTTTTTTTTCTCTAATGTTAAGTCTTGTATCTGAGCAATATTATTTTTATTATCACTGGCCAACATTAACCTTACGTTTACCTATAGAGAAGCTATACACACACACACACACACACACACACACACACACACACACACAAAGCAATTACAACTATTTCCTGGGAGGTGTGTTCTCTTGGGAAAATCACAAAATTCTCCTCTATTAAAGTATAGTAGCATTAAGAAGATACTGATTTTGTACTTTCATTTTGGTTATAAGACCATATGCCTTATTTTGAATATACAGTTAGATTCACTGACACATCCTAATAGAAAACAGTTATTTCAAGTTGCACACTTATGAACACAGACACAACAATTCAAATTAAGTATATTTGTTCATCACATCTAAAGAAGTATAACAAGGATAAAATTCCAAGCATACTAAATTATGTCTCAATGACAACATCTTGGTAAAGTTTCATCAAAAAGAATATTACTTGGTGCTGGTCAAACAGCAGTCTTTGTGTATGCAATTCAGAATGCTGGAAGAAACATTTGATAAAGACTTGTTAAAATATATTTGTTTTACTTATTTTCAGGGGAAATAATATAAAGTAAATTTTAAGTCAAAAGTATCAAAGTTTTGGGACTTTTTGCTCCCCAATATCATTTCATCTAATTAATTTAAATTTTATTTATTTAAGTGGGAGATTAGAATATCATGACTAGTTCTGAACAACCTTCTTCATAAAATGGGATTTTTTGAGAGATAGTTGTTTTAAAATGTCTTGATCCATGGTATTTAAAGTTCATTTAACTATATTTTCTCTCTGCACATATAAGGAAAGAACCAACACCAGGCCATGTACAGGTGGCCATGTACAGATGAGAGGAAGTAGGTAAAACATTACTAGATTTAGATAGTATGTTATGCAAGCCTTGATAAAGTGGTAGATTAACCAGTCACAGTGCAATCAAGACCATTTTCCTATTTGTCAGTTGTTTAGCAGCTTGATCTTTTAATGGAAAACCATGTTGTTGGCTACAAGGTCAAAGGAGGAGTAATACTGGACACCTTGTCTCCTGTTTTCCATGGTTTGAATATCCAAGTAAATAAAAATAGAGTTTTTAAAATCCTGTTCCAATGTAATCCTCTGAATTGTAGGAAATGTAGAGAAAATAAAATCTACATTTGTATAAACTTACCTTAAAAAACTGATTCACAGCACCTGATGGCATGACAAACTTCACAACATCTGGTGGTTCAGCTTCTACTATAATATCAAAACTAAGGAGTGGAATATTTGAATTGGAGTGAAAGTTTAAGCTGGCAATTTCCTTGATAGCAATGGGATTCTGGACCTCAGAGAAATCTTTTAAAAAGCTAGATTCCTTGGCATCAAGGACATCCTTGAACTCAGTAGCATGCTTAAAACTAATAGAATCCATGGGGCCAGGATAATCTTTGAAACAGGCACCAAATTTATAGTCATCAATAATTGTATAACTCCTATCAAGCTTAGGTGGATCAGAAAATTTAGAGGTGGTCAACTTTTCAGGAGTAGAAATATAGTTAGTGCCAGCAACAAAAACTGAGGAGTTACTATAAACAATATTAGGAATAGAGGAACTGGGATTGATGTCCAATTTGGTCTCAGAGAGATTACTAGCATTGCTGGTACTAGAATTATGATAAGTATTTATGATGTGATAATTGGGGTTGATGACAAAGTTGGAGCCAATGATATGAGTAAATCTGGGCTCATGGTTAGTGTCTGAGGCACAGTTGGTATAAGTAGGGCTAATAGCACTAGTGAAAATAGTGGTGTAACTGGTGTCAGTGACATTGACAGTGCTAGAAGTAGAGCTGGGACTGTCAGCATAGCTATTTCTGGCAATATAGTTGGGGTTATCTACAAAATTAGAACCTACTGCATGGGTAAATCCTGGGACATATTCAAGGTTTGAAACGCAGTTTGAAATAGTTACATAGTTGTGGCCAGCAGCACTGATGAATTTTGTTTCATAGATGGAGTTAGCATCCTTGTTAGGACTGAAAGCAATATTGTGACTAGTAGCATTACTAAGCCTGGCATTATAGCTAGAATCAGGGTTTTTTTCAAGGCCAGAGCTATTATTATTGGGACCAGGGCTATTATTGTTGAGGCCAGGGTTATTGCTGTTTAGGACAGGGATATTATTGGGTCTAAGGCCATTAATGTTGGGGCCAGAGACACTGCTGCTGAATCCAGGGCTGAAGGGATGCAGTCTTATATTTTGGGGTCCAGAGCCATTGTTCTGGAGGCCAGATTCATTAATGTTAGGGCAAGGTGCATTGTTGGGGCCAAGTCTATTGTTGAGGCCAATGATACTGCTGGAACCAATGCTGAAGCCAGCACCCTTGCAGGAACCAGAAGTGCAGTCTGGGCCAGCTCCATTTTGGAATCCAGAGGTGTAGTTGGGATTAGAGTCATTATTGGAGTCAGCAGTACACTCTTGATAAACATCAATATCTAGGACAAAGACATTTTGTGAATTGTTGGTGTGTTTGTTTTCCTCAAAATCAGTGTTACATTTGGAGTTAGCATCATTGTTAGTGGCATTACCAATGTTAGAGTCAGGTTCACTGTTGGATTCAGTTCCACTGTTAGAGTCACCTTCACTGGTAGAATCAGCTCCACTGGTAGAGTCAGCATCACCACTGGGATCAGACTCGTTGCTTGTGTCTGCATCATTTTCAGCATTACTATCTTTTGGATCAGTGTTATCAGGGTCAGACTTATCTTTGGGATCTTTCCTGTCTTTGGTATTGCTTTCATCTTCAGGGTCTGTTTCATCTTCAGGCTCTTTCTCATCTTCAGAGTCTGTCTCATCTTCATGGTTTTCCTCATCTTTAAAAAGAGGCTTGTCTTTGGCCTTATCTTTGAGATTGCCAGTATTGACCAGTTTAGTCTCATCAGGATTGGCCTCATTTTCAAATTTGGCAGTAAATTTAAACTTACCCTCGCTTTCAAGGCCAGCAATGCTGCTGGTGTGGATGACATTGCCTGGGCCAGGGGTACTATGGTGGCTGATATTATTTTGAGGATTCACTGGAAAGGTATGAGTAACAGTAGAGCCCATGAGATTCTGGAGAGCTGAGCAACTTTCACAGTGTAAAAAAGAAGTTGAACCCAAAGAATATTTATAATCCTCCCAGTGGAAAGGGCAGCGGATGCCCACGGGTTGCTCAGGATCCAAGGATCGAGATAAAGGGCTGTTCTGAGAAGTCTTGTGGTGACTAATAGATCTAGAACTCAAAGAATATTTAGAATCCAAGGGAACTTGGAGATGTAAAGGACAGTCATGGTCTGAATCATCATCAGAATTAATGAGACACTTATGAAAAGAAAAATTATTGATTTGTACAAAACATTTAGAACATATAAGAGCTCCAGTGTCTAAAGTGTATGTGTTATTTCTGTGAGTCTTGGGGCATACAGCAAACCAAGGGCTCATGGAAATAGGGTGGTAGACAGGCACCAAAAATTCAGAGGTGTAACCCTGAGGATTTAGGAAATGAATAGGACTCATTTGACACCTGGAACTCTGAAATCTCTGTTGGTATCTATAGTCTGTGTAACAACTCTTAGAGACAGAAATTTTGTGGCTGGCATTTTTGTGATGCTTCTTATCCATGAAAGTATTTGGGTTTGAAAAAACGTTGTGGCTGTGCTTTTCCATTAACTTTAGCTGTGAGTCTTGCTTATCACTCAGAGTTGGTGACATCTCTTTGAATCTTACAGTCTTATCATCACTTGGGTATCTTACAAGCTGAATTCTGGACACTGCTAGAAGAGCAAAATATGAGCAAGAACAATGAAAAAAATTGACTTTGACAAACACAATACACATCACACACACACAAATATATGCAAAAGAAAAAATTTCATTTCCTTAAATAGGTTCTTACTATTGGATATTTCAAAAGGAAGCCATGATCCTACATTTTCTGCTCAAAGAGGTGTCATATTGAGCTTATTAAGACACAAAAATGAAACATGATCATTTATCTCAGATTTTATTCTCTTCAGATTCAGGGAGCTTAATCTTTAGTTTAAATAGGAATTCATTGGCATCATTTGGCCAAAATAAAACTTGCTTTTCACATATTGGATACTGCATATCTATATTAATTTTATCTTGCTTTTAGAAATATTGAGTTGACCAGAAACTTTGGGCTTTTCCATAAGATGTTATGAATGAATTTTTTGGCCATTCTAATACTGGCAATTTATTCTTTCCTGGAATATAATCCCTGTAATTTATACAATATCCATGTTTTGGAACAAAAATTTCTTTGGGCTTGATATGTCAAAATGGCAAAATTTCCGATAGTAAATGTATTATCAAGGATCAGTTTTATGTAGCTGTAAAGAACTCACTGGCATGTGATTCTGGAAATTTATATATTTACCTATACCTCAGCTTTAAAATTAAAGTTCATAAATGTATGGAATAACTTTGCTTTTCAGGTACACAGGCAGAAATAAAGTAAAAATCATTATGATTTAATTTTAAAACAGAAGATCTTTTTCCACCATTGCCTTAGGTCCTAAGAACATTTTCCCCATGTCTTGGCATCAAACACTGCATATTTGGGGAGGAGTCAAAGAATGCTGAGTAGTAGCTTCCATTTAGAAACTGACAATGACTTTTTATACAGAAGGAGATGTGCCTTCTCATCCAGTTTCTCTTAAGATCATATAGAATTCTTAAGATAAATTTTTAATTATATACTCATAATCTTTAGGTATTTATAAAAGAGAAAAATTTAAGTAGGGTATTCTGAAAAATATTCATTGAACATATATGATACATATATATTCAATTTTATATATAAATGATTTGGTCTACTATGAAACATTTAAAACATATAGCCTTTATAAAAAAAGGAATTCATATACTTATAAATACAGGCAGTCATTTTGTTGCCCTCATAGCATTCAATGGTGCATGCATAATGTAAAATAATGTGGACTTAGTAGTATCTATTTCTATGCTTTATAGTAAATACTCACAGTAATGACTATAAATTTATTAACCCAAGCTGAGTGACAGCAAATACTGAAGGAGAGAGGTGACTAGTATTTTCAGTGACTCTATTCTTAACCAGTATGTACTATATATTTTATTCATACAGTGCTATTATTATAAATTAATGACAAAGGCTTATAACCTGACAAAAACAAAAGAGTGATGTAATTTGGATACTTGTTAGACTTTCTCACATTCAAGATAATAGGGAATATAAAACAGTTATAAGCAATCTGGAAAAAAAATGCAAGTATATGGTATTGAAGGTGTACACAGTTCTTAAACTCAATGAAATACAACATTAGAAAAAAAAGGCCCATCATGTATGAGTTTGTATTATTAAACTGGATAGTCTCTTGTAATTAGGAATGAGGTATAACATTAAGAGTAAGATAAAAATGAGACAGCAGTACACAGGTTGTCCCATAGAGACAGAGAACCTAAATTATACACAAGAAAGTAGCTCTAATTTAATAATCTGGAAAATGTATCTCTGATGTCCAAAAGCAAATGAATGCATTCATATGCAAAAGATGAAATAGAACATCTATCTGAAATTGATCTATCTTCAAGAGGTGCACTGGGAAGACCCAGAGGGATCAGGTGGAGAGGGAGGTGGGAGGGGGGATCAGGATGGGGAATACATGTATATCTATGGCTGATTCATGTCAATGTATGACAAAAACCACTACAATAATGTAAAGTAATTAGCCTCCAACTAATAAAAAAAAAATAAAAATAAAAAAAAAGAAATAGAACATCTACTCTGTGCATGCTAAGTCACTACAGTTATGTCTGACTCACTGGGACCCTATGGACTGTAGGTTTCCAGACTCCTCTGTCCATAGGATTCTCCAGGAAAGAATAAAGGAGTGGGTTGCCATTCCCTTCTCCAGGGGATCTTCAAGACCCAGGAATGTAACTTGTATCTTTAATGTCTCCTGCATTGGCAGGAGGGTTCATTACAACTAGCGCCACATGGGAAGCCCAGAACATCTATAATAACAAATTTATTTCTACATGATGATCTGTACCCACAGAGTTTGGTGTGGCTACAAACTACAAGTCCTTTCATTATAGGGGACTGGAATGCTAAAGTAGGAAGTCAAGAAATACCTGAAGTAACAGGCAAATTTGGCCTCAGAGTACAGAATAAAGCAGGGCAAAAGCTAACAGAGCTTTACCAAGAAAACGCACTGGTCATAGCAAACACCCTCTTACAACAACAAAAGAGAAGACTCTACACATAGACATCACCAGATGGTCAACACCAAAATCAGATTACTTATATTCTTTGCAGCCAAAGATGGAGAAGCTCTATTCAGTCAGCAAAAACAAGACTGGGAGCTGACTGTGGCTCAGATCAAGAACTCCTTATTGCCAAATTCAGACTGAAACTGAAGAAAGTGGAGGAAACCACTAGACCATTCAGGTATGACCTAAATAAAATTCCTTATGATTATACAGTGGAAGTGACAAATAGATTCAAGGGATTAGATCTGATAAGAGTGCCTGAAGAACTATGGACGGAGGTTCGTGACATTGTACAGGAGACAGGGATCAAGACCAGCCCCAAGAAAAAGAAACGCAAAAAAGCCGACTGATTGTCTGAGGAGGCCTTACAAATAGCTGTGAAAAGAAGAGAAGCAAAAGGCAAATGAGAAAAGGAAAGATATACCCATCTGAATGCAGAGTTCTAAAGAATAGTAAGGAGAGATAAGAAAGCCTTCCTCAGTGATCAATGCAAAGAAATAGAGGAAAACAACAGAATGGGAAAGACTAGAGATCTCTTCAAGAAAATTAAGAGATCCCAAGGGAATATTTCATGCAAAGATGGGCACAAAAAAGGAAAGAAATGATACAGACCTAACAGAAACAGTATATATTAAGAAGAGGTGGCAAGAATACACAGAAGAACTATACAAAAAAGCTCCTCATGACCCAGATAATCACTATGGTATGATCACTTAGCTCTAGCCAGACATCCTGGAATGCCAAGTCAAGTGGTCCTTAGGAAGAATCACTATGAACAAAGCTAGTGGAGGTGATGGGATTCCAGTTGAGCTATTTCAAATCCTAAGAGATGATGCTGAGAAAGTGCTGCACTCAATATGCCAGCAAATTTGGAAAACTCAGCAGTGGCCTCAGGACTGGAAAAGGTCAATTTTCATTCCAATCCCAAAGTAGAGCAATGCAAGAGAATGTTCAAACTACCACAGAATTGCTCTCATCTCACACGCTAGCAAAATAATGCTCAAATTTCTCCAAGCCAGTCTTCAACAGTACTTGAACTGTGAACTTCCAGATGTTCAAGCTGGATTTATAAAAGGCAGAGGAATGAGAGGTCAAATTGCCAACATCCATTGGATCATAGAGAAAGCAAGAGAGTTCCAGAAAAACATCTACTTCTGCTTTATTGACTATGCCAAAGCCATTGACTGTGTGGATCAGAAGAAATTGTGAGCCAGAAAGATAAAGACCAATACAGTATACTAGTGCATATATATGGAATTTAAAAAGATGGTAATGATAGCCCTATATGCAAAACAGAAAAAGAGACACAGATGTACAGAACAGACTTTTAGACTCTGTGGGAGAAGCCGAGGGTGGGATATTCTGAGAGAATAGCACTTAAACAAGTATACTATCAAGGGTGAAACAGATCACCAGCCCAGGTTGGATGCATGAGAAATTGTGGGAAATTCTTAAAGAGATGGGAATGCCAGACTACCTGACCTGCCTCCTGAGAAATCTATATGCAAGTCAAGAAGCAAAAGTTAGAACTGGACATGAAAAAACAGACTGGTTTCAAATCAGGAAAGGAGTACCTCAAGGCTGTATATTGTCACTCTGCTTATTTAATTTATATGCAGATTATATAATAAGAAATGCATATGATGCATCATATACATATGATATGAATCTTATGGTAACCAGAAACTAAACCCCTAAAATAGATACACACACATAAAAAGAAAAAGGAATCCAAATATAACAATAAAGATAGTCATCAAATTCCAAGGGCAGAGAGCAAAAGAAGAAAAAAAGGATGGCAAAACAACCCCCAAACAATTAAGAATATGGCAACAAGTACACACCTACAAATAAATAAAAGTAAATAAACTACATTGTCCATTCAAAAGATGTAGAGTGGTTGGAATGAATAAAAAACAAAGCCCACCTACACACTCCCTACTACAGACTCACTTCAGATCTAAAGACAGAGTGAAAGTGAGGAGATATAAAACGCCTCCATGTAAATAGGAAAAAAAAAAATCTGGGGTAGCAATGCTTATACCATACAAAATAGATTTAAAACAAAGATGTAATAAGAATCAAAGAAGGACATTACATAATAATAAAGGGATTAATCCCACAAGAAGATACCACAATATTAAATATATATGCACTGAAACACAGGAGCACCTAAATACATATAGCAAATATTAATAAAAATGAAAGGAGAAATTGACACTAACAAAATAGTAGTGGGGAATTTTAACACCCCAATTACATCGATAGATAGATTATCCGTTATCCAGATAGAAAATCAAAAAGAAAACACTGGCCTTAAATGACACATTGTTGTTGTTATTGTTTTTTAGTTACTAAGTTATGTCTGACTCTTGTGACCCCATGGACTGTAGCCCGCCAGGCTCCTCTGTCCATGGGAATCTCTAGGCAAGAATCCTGGAGTGAGTCACCGTTTCCTTCTCCACGTGATCTTCCCAACTCAGAGAGCAAACCCACATCTCCTGCATTGGCAGGTGGATTCTTTGCCACTGAGCCACCAGGGAAGCCCAATTTGGTAACATGTCTATCTAAACCATTTGTCCATTTTAAATTTAGTTTTTTTTCCTATTATTGAGTTTTGAGTATCCTTTTCATATTCTAGATACAGTGCTTTACCAGATATATGAGCTGAAAATCGTTTTCATAGTGTATAGCATCCTTTCATTCCTTTACAATTTTCTGGAAAATGGAACTTTTAAATTGTGTTGAAGTCCAATTTTTATCAAATGTTTCTTATATGGATAATGCTCTTCTTGTAGTAAATGATAAATCTTCATCTAACTCAAGGTCACAAAGATTTTTCTTCATCTAGTAGTATATATTTTTAGGATTTATATTTAGTTCTATTCTCCATTTGAGTTAATTTTGTATATGATACAAGAAATGAATTAAAATTAACATTTTTTTCTTTTGTACTTCGATATATAATTTTCCCAACAACAATGAGTGTAAAGAACATCCTTTCTTCATATCAGTTCTTCTCTGATAGCTGACTTGGTAAAGAATCTACCTTCAATGAAGGAGACCCAAATTCAGTCCTTGGGTTGGGAAGATGCCCTGGAGGACAGAATGGCTACCCATTCTAGTATTCTTGCTGGGAGAATTCCATGGACTGGGAAGCCTGGCAAGCTACAGTCCATGGGGTCTCAAAGAGTCAGACATGACTGAGTGACTTTCACTTTCAAATGAATAAAACCATGGGTCTCTGGCCAACTGATTTTTGACAAGGATACCCAGACCATTCCATGGGGAAATAATAGACTCTTCAAGTGATATTGGGTCAACTGGACATCCACATGGAAAAGAATTGTTCCCTAACATGACACCATACACAAAAAGTAATTCAAAATGGATCAAACTACCAAATTTAAGAATTAAAATTATAGTATTCTTAAAAAAATATATGTAAATCTTCACAATCTTGGATTTGGCAAGTGATTCTTATATATGACATCTATATTATGAGTTGAATAAAGACAGGTAATTTTGATGTCAACAAAATTTTTCAAATTTGTGCTTCAAAGGACACCATGAATAAAATGAAAAGACAATCCACAGAATGGAATAAAATATTTGCAATTAATATATATGATAAAAATATGCTTTCAGGATATATAGAAACTCATAACTCAATAACAGATATATATATACACACATATAAATATATACATATACATATATATATATATATATATATATATATATATATATATGTAAAAAATAGGATCCCAGTAGACAGTTATCCAAGAAAGATATATAGTAGCCAAAAAGTACATAAAAAGATGCTCAACATCATTAGTCATCAAGGAAATAGATGTTAAAACTATTAATTTAATATTATTTCAGAACCACCAACATGGCTATATAGAAGTCAAATAATGACAAGTGTCAAAGAGGATGTGGAGGAATAGGAATCCTCATACACTATAGGTGGGAATATAAAATTATGCAGTCACTTTGGGAAAAATCTGCAGTTTTTCAAGCAATGAAACATCAAATAACCATATGATGCAGCAACTCCATTCCTAGGTATATATCTAAGAGAAATGGAAATATACCTCTATGTAAACAAATGTTCATAGCATCGTTATTCATAATAAGCAAAATGTGTAACTAACTCATACATCCATCAACTGGCAAATATCTAAACAAAATGCAGTATATCCATACAATGGAATGTTACTCAGTCATGAAAAGAATTAAGTACTGATACATGCTACAATATAGATTAACCTTGAAAGCACTATACAAATTAAATGAATATAGTTATAAAAGTCTATGTATTATACGATTCTGTTCATATGAAATGTCCAGGACAGAGGAATCTATAGATACTTAAGTAGATCAGTGGTTTCTTAAGACTAGAGGGAAAATTATACAGGAACTTTGGAAAAAAGACTGCAGTTCTTCAACTGTAGGCAGTTGAAGGAGTAAGTAGGTGATAACCACAGAGTATAGTGTTAACTTCTATGGTGATAAAAATTATCCAAAACAGTTGTTATTGTTGCAAATATCTATACTTAAAACCATTACTTGTGTAGCTTAATTGGTAAATTATATCTCAATAAAAATACCCTGGGCAAAAAACAGCCTGGGAACTGATAACTCTAGTGAGCTTTCCTGGTAGACAACATTTCATATATATCATCATAGTTTTTGGTAGATAAATTAGATGAGTCTTGTGTGACTCCAATGGGAGTGGACTTTAGAACCTTGTATTAATACTTAGTTTCCACTAGACTTCAAACCATATGCCTTTTCCTTTTATTAATTTATTTTGTATCCTTTCATTGTAATAAATCATAGTCTTGAGTATTATTATGTGCTGAGTTCAGTGAATCCTCCTAGAGTATTATTGGACTTGGATATTGTCTTAGAGATCCCAAATACAAGAAGTCAGGCTTAAAATTTTCTAAATATTGAATAAAATATATAAAATCCTTTGGTAATTTCTATTGAATGTACTCACCTTTGTTATCAATTTGTTGCACAGAGTGTCGTTCTTCAGTTTCCTTTCTTTGGCTATGTGGAGGTGATAGAAAAATAGGCCTCCAAAAACCTATGAACATATTAAATAGACTCAATTATTTTCCAATTCCTAAAAAGTAAGATGATTATAGAAGGTAAAACTTTATACTATATGATTCTCAAGTGAAAAAAACATTTCTGATAATACTCTTTTTTCTTCAAATATATCTATTAGTAATGGTGATCCAATTTTCATGGAGTTTATTAAAGCAATATTGAAAATGAATGTATCCAGTATATACTGGTGATATTTTTGCCCCATATAAATATTCAATAGATTCTCAGTTAACTCTCTAAAAGAATTTGTAGCGAGTTCTTGACCTAATTAATGAAATACTTGGTATAACATTGGCTAATAAGCACCTATGGGATGAATATTATCAAAACACAAAAAGTGACAAGTGTTGGTGAGAATGTGGAGAAATTAGACCCTTATGAACTGTGGGTGGGCAGGTAAAATGGTACAGTAATGATAAAAAACAGTATGGCAGTTCCTCAAAAAATTAAAATTAGAATTACTTTACATGCCAACAATTCTACTTCTGAGTACATACCCAAAAGAATTGAAAGCAAAATCTCCAAGATACATTTTTATAACCTTGTTTGGCATCATTCTCATTAGCCAAAATGTGGAAGTTACCCAAATGTCCATCAACAGCTAACAGACAAGCAAATTGTGGTATATCCAACATTCATTAGCCTTAAAAAGCAAGAAAATTCTGACACATGCAACAATATGGATCAACCCCAAGGACATTATGCTAGTTGAAAGAAGCCATGCACAAAAAGGCAACTACTGCATTTGAGATTAATATTTATATTAGATACTTCAGTTCAATTCAGTTCAGTCGCTCAGTCGTGTCCGACTCTTTGCGACCCCATGAACGGCAGCACGCCAGGCCTCCCTGTCCATCACCAACTCCCGGAGTCCACCCAAACCCATGTCCATTGAGTCGGTGATGCCATCCAAGAGTCTCATCCTCTGTAGTCCCCTTCACCTCCTGCCCTCAATCTTTCCCAGCATCAGGGTCTTTGCTGGGATACTTAGACTAGTCAAAATTACAGAGACAAAGAGTATGATGGTAGTTAGCACAGATTGGGTGAAATGGGGAAGGGGGAAGGTTATTTTTTGATGGGGACAGAGTTTTAGTTTTGTAACTTTTAAATTAATTAAATTCTTAAAGAGACAGGAGTACCAGACACCTTACATGTCTCCTGAGAAACCTGTATGCAGGTTAAGAAGCAATAGTTAAATCAGACATGGAACAACCAACTGGTTCAAAATTAGGAAAGGAGTATGACAAGACTGGATATTGTTAGCCTGTTTATTTAATTTATATGCATAGTGAAAGTGAAAAGTGAAAGTGAAGTCGCTCAGTCGTGTCCAACTCTTTGGGACCCCATGGACTGTAGCCTACCAGACTCCTCCATCATGGGATTTTCCAGGCAAGAGTACTGGAGTGGGTTGCCATTTTACATCATGCAAAATACCAGACTGGATGAATCAGAAGCAGGAATCAAGATAGTTGGGAGAAATAACAATGACTGCTATGATATGCTCAGATATGCAGGTGATACCAATCTAATGGCAGAAAGTGAAGAGGAACTAGAAAGCCTCTTGATGAGGGTGGAAGAGGAGAGTGACAAAAGCTTGAAACTCAACATTCAAAAAACTAAGATCATGGCATCCAGTCCCATTACTTCATGGCAAATAGAAGGGGGGAAAGTGGAAGCAGTGACAGAGTTTATTTTCTTGGGCTCACAAATCACTGTGGATTGTGACTATAGCCATGAAATTAAAAGACACTTACTCCTTGTAAGTAAACCATGACATACCTGGAAGCATATTGGACTTCCCAGGTGGCACTGACAGTAAAGAATCTGCCTGCCAATGCAGGAGACAAAAGATACACAGGTTTGATTCCTGGGTGGGAAAGATCTACTGGATTAGGAAATGACAACTCACTCCAGTATTCTGCTTGGAAAATTCCACGGACAGAGAAGCCTGGTGGGATACAGTCCATGTGGCTGCAAAGAGTAGGACACAACTGAGCACAGTCAGAGAACATATTAAAAAGCAGAGACATCACTTTACTGACAAAGGTCCATATAGTGAAGCTATGGTTTTTCTAGCAGTCACGTACAGATGTGAGAGTTGGATCATAAAGAAGGCTGAGTGTGGAAGAAGTGATGCTTTTAAATTGTGGTGCTAAAGAAGACTCTTGAGAGTCCCTTGGATGGTAAGGAGATCAAATCTGTCAATCCTAAAGGAAATCAGTCCCAAATGCTCATTGGAAGGACTGTTCCTGAAGCTCCCATACTTTGACCACCTGATGCAAACATCTGACACAGTGGGAAAGAACCTGATGCTTGGAAAGATTGAAGGCAAAAGGAGAAGGGGGCAACAGAGGATAAGATGGTTAGACAGCATCACTGACTCAGTGGACATGAAATTGAGCAAACTCTGGAAGACAGTCTAGGACAAAGGAGCCTGGCATGCTACAGTTCATGGCATCACAGAGAGTCAGAAATGACTTAGAGACTGAAAACAACAACAAAATTGAAAGAGTTTTGGAGATTGGTTGCAGAAAAATGTGAAGGCACTTAATACTGAATTGTACACTTAAAAATTATAGATACAGTAACTTTTATGTTATGTATATTTTTACTACAGTTTTTTTTTTAATGCCTAACAATAGGCTATGGAGGAGGAGCAAGGACTATGTGTTCATGTCAGACATAACGGCGACTGCAGTTCAATGATCCTAAAATGATAGCACTTGGTGTAAAAATTTAAAGTGCAACATAAATTCTAAACATCACTATGACTTATAAGCAAAGAAGTTAAGAAAGTGAGTTAATATTATCAGTGAGTTTTGGACTGCTCTCAGGAAATGCATTTTGTAAAAAAGATAAACTAAAGTTTTTGCAACCAACTGCTCTTTGATTAAGAAAATAAATCATTATAATTTAGAGTCTGCAGTTTCAGGAGCAAATAGACTTAATTCTGGGTCTGGGAGATTTAGCAAGGGCTTCCTTGGTGGCTCAGTGGTAAAAGAATTCGACTGCCAGTGGAGGAGATGTGGCTTTGATCCCTGGGTTTGGAAGATCCCCTGGAGGAGAGCATAGCAACCCACTCCAGTATTCTTACCTGGAGAATCCCATAGAAGTCCTTAGGCTCGCAAAGAGTCAGATGCGACTGAAGAGACACAACATGCACACAAGCTGACTTTGCTCATTTGGGAGTGAACATGAGATGAGCAGCACACAGAGAACTTTTTATTTACCTATGACCTTCACTTTTATTTTTGGGATTTCTTTTTATCACATTTAGCTTATCAGCTTATATTTTCAATATGCAACACCAGAAGATGTGTGAAAGCAGCTAGAAAAAAAATTGATTTTATCTACCTGTGGACTGACCAATGCATGTTTTATATTAAGGATCCATAAATTAGATAATTACAGTCCAATTATTTGGACTGCAATTTAAACAAATATTTAAAAGGTGTCAGAATCTTAGAAAAATCTGAAAAAGTAATCTATTATTTTCAAGTGTAATAATATTCTCACCTCAATTAGATTATAAACTTTTTGAAACTATGGCTGTGGTCAAGATAACACTAGACTAGGATTTTCTAGCTGTAGGTTAGCTAGACACTAATTACCTACATGACATTTAGTGAAGTAATCTATTTAAGCCTCAGTTTCCTTGTTTTTGAAGCAAGTACAATAAGTTATACTTTAATAGCAATCTCAGGACAGAAGTGAGCAATCTTAAAGTGAGAGCTCAGTTCCCTGCCCAGGAAGTAAACCTGGGTAACCCAGATAAAAACCAGGAGTCCTCACCACTAAACCACCAGGGCTAGACGCTAGAAGTAAAGTGGCCCTGGATCTTGCCACTGTTTAAAAGCAAGAAGTTTCAAGGAAGCAAAAAACTGTAAAAATAGGTACAAAGTTTATTAATAGAGACTCAGCACGATATATGGGAAAGTACACAGTAAAACAGTTTGTTTATCTAATTCAGAAGCAGGGTAGAGATATACACCCAGAGAGAAAGGGTATGGGCATCCTCTCTAATGAGCAGGAGTGCAGCAAGTCAGAAACCAGGCAGAGACACAGTGGGAGAGAAGTCAGGGCATCCTTATTTAGGAGGAGCACGGTAAAGAGGTAATGTAAATCACTTATAGAGGACAGTCCTTCCTGGTCTTTGTTTCAGTTCAGTTCAGTTCAGTCACTCAGTCGTGTCCAACTCCTTGCAACCCCATGCGTCACAGCACGCCAGGCCTCCCTGTCTATCACCAACTCCTGGAGTCTACCCAAACCCATGCCCATCGAGTCGGTGATGCCATCCAGCCATCTCATCCTCTGTTGTCCCCTTCTCCTCCTGCCCTCAAACCCTCCCAGCATCAGGGTCTTTTCCAATGAGTCAACCCTTTGCATGAGGTGGCCAAAGTTTGGAGTTCCAGCTTCAGCATCAGTCCTTCCAATGAACACCCAGGACTGATCTCCTTTAGGATGGACTGGTTTACCTTTGGCCAATTATCTTGTTTCTTTCTACACGCCTGACTGGTAGGCGTGGACCCTCCTCAAGATTCTTGTGCAATTGTTTTGTGAGACAAATTGCACCACAGAGGCCTATGGGTGCATGCCCACACTTATTAAGGGATGGAGTCCCCTCCTTTTTTGATCCCCAAGAAGCCTTCCTGCACATGTGAAGACAGGGAAGCCCTCCTTGATCTCAGGAGTGGGCATTTTATCCTCTTGCTTTAGCAGAGCTCAGCTTTTGCCACCAGCTTTGTCCTTGCAGTGTCTGGGTGAGAAAAAAAGGCTCCGTTTTACTCCATCTGATAAATACCTGGTGTCCAGCTCAGAGGCTCACTGTGTCCTATCTCATTAGTTCTTTCTAAATTAGAGAACATGAGGTAAAACAAGGGTTGAGATACGAGCAACATAATTAAATTGATTAAGAACTGCAAGGAGATCCAACCAGTCAATCCTAAAGGAAACCAGCCCTGGATATTCATTGGA